TGTATTTTCCCATGTAGCTGGTTCTCGATCTTTTCTCAAACTTCAAGACAACTAGGTAATGTTTTCAACTACTCTTCTTAAACCGAGTTTAAAATTACATTTTGGTAATGTTTATAATTACATTTTGGTTCTCGTTTGCCAAAGTTCAAGACAAACTTCTATTATTTCACTTTGTTTTACTGTTTCGTTTTGCAGGAAGCAAACAATGAAGACTTCTCTTTCATTATAGTGATGAAGAAAGTACATCAGAAGCCTGATGGAACTTATGTTGATCAGCGAGCATGATTGGTTGCAGAAACTTATGAAAAACATGTACAAGAATGCTTGGGACAGCTCGAATCTTCTGGCGAAGAGAATGTGACAGCCGAAAATCTCGACCAACGTGAGAAAAATGAAATCTATCTCAAAGTAATTTTAAAACTATATATTGAATTGATTTTAAAATGGATTGTTTAGATGAATATCTACAATTAGTTACGTCATTGGCAATGGGGATATATGATCATCAAGGTTTTGCTGCGTAGAAACCATCAAAATTTGCATAATTGTTTGTCTAATTGATCAAATAGAAAACTGGGTTTTATTTTTCGGTGAAGCAGAGATTTTTCGTAATTGGGTTTTTGTTTTCTCCACGAATTTGTCATTATCTTTGAAGTAATACTCTTTAATGTCAGTTTCTTATGTAGCAGTAGATTCTCTAAGTTTCTTATGAATTAGAACTCTTTGGCCTCTTGTTTTACTTCACTGATTTGATTTCATAAATGAAGTTATGAGTTTTATTTATTCTCTTCTTATTGCTTTGATTTCAGAATTCTATGCGAGTTGTGCATTAGTTACTGATAATGGTTCTAGAATTCTATGCTTAGTTGTTGTGGATTCATTTTGTTTTACATTCATTTGTGCTTATTGTGATGTGCGTAGTTGTCTTTTCTATGTTTGCTCACTTATTTGGTCGTTTGTTATAGGCTGCTGCTGGTTCATCTAAACAAGGCCATGTCTTTGGACTTGGAGCCTTGCGCAATGAGGTTTTACCAGCTTTTAAGGCTTCTTCAACTGTACAACAACCTTCTGAAGAACCAGAGATGATAACACAACGACTCCAAGAGGTAGAAGCAGAACTAAAACAAAACCGTGAAGAGAAACTGGAATTTCAGAGAAGATTTGAATCCATGGAGAAAATTGTTCAGTCTTTGGCAAGTCACAATGCTTAGGTAACTCCACCATCAAGACCATCTACTTTCCTTGGAATCTAGTAATTCTAGTTACCATTTATCCTTACTTTCATT